CATTAACGAGGACCCCCTAATTCGAGTATGGAGGTTTGGCATATACCACATTCTCACATGGGGGTCTCTCAACCCCGTCAGAGTCAATCTTACGTAAATCTACAAGTGTTATTTTGGGTCTTGTTTATTCTGAAATGTAAGCATCCACTTGAGTCATACTTCCTGGCTTAAAATAGTAAACCGCCATCTGCAGTGTAGGTCTCTGAGTTAATCCTTTAGTTTAGACATGTGCTTTTGTTTATTTAACCTAAAGTATCTGTATCTGAACACTCCATAACCCAGTCATCTCGTATGACGTTAATGCAGTGTTTCCCAGCCCGGTTCTCGGTGACCCACAGTCATTCCTTGTTTTTGCTCCCTCCCAGCTCCCTGCCAGACTGTCCACATTTTTGCTCTGGAGCTAGGAGGGAGCAAAAACATGGTCTGTCTGTGGTTCCCCGAGGACCGGATTGGGAAACATTGCTGTAGGCTTATGTTAGCTGTAGGTTTCCCGTTTCCTCTCTCCATATACCCTCTGGCAGAGGAGGTATGAATCGCACGGGACTGCGTTTGTGTTTGTTAATCTGCGTGTAGGACACACGCTCCATCCTGCTCAGACTGTGTCATTAAAACTCTTCTCTACAGTAAACGAGAAAGTAGCCTTTAATTCTGAACGCACCCTGTCATCAAATGTCAGTGTCTTGCTGACTTTTTTTGGCAATTAAATCGCATTGATACGAGAACATTGTACTGCGTGACCTAAAATCCGTTCAGCACATACTATAAAGAAAATGGCGCTCAAAGGGTGGTATGTCTGCATATTGAGTGCTGATGTGAGTGCTCACCGAGCTGTCGCTGGGGACATGTCTGAACCCAGCATGTGCTGGACTGGGGGACTATATGGTGGAACCATGCACTATGGTCGGCGTGAGGAGAGTCCTGGTCGAGAGGTATCAGAGTGGTTCAAGCTGATGGTCTGTCTGATGTCTGCAGGCCGTGGCGGTCCTGACCGCCACCTACCCGGTGGGTCACATGCCCTACGGCTGGCTGACAGAGCTAAAGGCCATCTGCCCAGTCTTTGACAAGGTAAGGGACCCGGGGTCACTTATGCCATTAGTGAGTCTACAAGTTAAAAGGGAATTTCTCTAAGCTGTTGGCATTGGCTTTTATGAGTATGGCAGCCTGATTTAATGGACCTCTTGGTCTTCAACAGAAAGTGCCGTCCGTAATTGTGAATGGCATCAATTCTGCACCCCCCACTGACATTATGATAGTTGGCATGGAGATGAAGTCCGGATGGCCTCACGGATAGTTTTCCACGGGGGGGGGGAGGCAGAAACGGACTGTGATGCAGATTTAATGCAATTACAATGATGCGCAGTTCAATTCAACCGCAGTCAAGAAAAGAGTAGAAACCTCTGTGACGAACCCGGCATTTGTTTAGTTAAATTGAAAACGAGTGTTTTTGACTACTCTGCCTTCCAGAACAATCCAGGGGACAAGCTGCCTGGCGACGCCACTTCAGTGTCCAAGTCGCACATTATAAGATTCACATTCGTCTGTCTGGCACTTTCTTTCACGGTAAGGTGGCTGTTCTCTGACTTTGCCATTCCTGAGTTTTTTGGTTTTTTTTTTATATCTCGTTTTTCAAAACTTCTTATCTCTCTGTTTATCACTATGTGTCTGGTATAGGTGGGTGAGACGTTGAAAGAATAATTGGCCTGTGCCGATCCGTGGCATTTAAATAAAGATAATTATAGTGCCATGATGCGTGCGCTCGCCAAGTCTGAGAGACTCGGAGCTGAGATGAGAACTTATCGATCCCCGGAGGGAAATTAGCAATTGATTAGCATGAATCAGAAGCTGACTTTAGGTTTATGCTTCACCTGAGGGCAGCAGGTGAGCCTTTGTGGTGACAGCAGCTTGCCGGTGTATGTCTGAGTCACATCCATTGTGAGCGAAGCATTCACGTCTGTGTGTGCTGGGTGTGAGGGACGTGTAATGGTGTGAAGCGGCAGAACTCGCTCTGCGCCTCCAGCTTTTCTGGGCTTGCTTGAGGCACGGTTCAGAAGTTTAGGAGATGGAGGGAGCGTTTCTCAAGTCCCGCAGGCAGCGGTCAGACCGGAGGGGACGCTGATGCCATTTTACCCGCCTGTCCCCTTGAGCCAGTGGGAGGGGCTTTTGGCTGTGCTGGCTGCCTCCCCAGGAAAGACTGTCTGCCCGGTGTTTCAGGCAGCCTAAGGGCAGCCGGTAAGTCACTGAGTGGCTTTAATTACCGTGAGGATGACAGTCACCCTGCTAATGAGGCATGTGAAGAAGGCGTCAAACTGTCCAGCGTGGGACAGGGTTTGCTATCTTGGGAACGTGAGACAGCAGACACCATGGGGACATCCCTACAAGACAAACACTTTTTAATTCCTTTCTAAAAGCAGATAAGAAAAGCAGAAACAGTGTTTGGCAGGTGACTAATTTTTTTTTTTCTGCTTTGGTGGTTTGGGGGCTGATAATTACATAAAAATGGTGGAAAATGGTCGGTGGAAAATACCCAGAAATAGTCATCCCTGAATATTTGGCTTTGGGGGAGGGGCAGAGGGGGCGTTCTCTGTGTAAGTACCTTGATAACCCCCCCATCTTGAGGTGACCATTTTGAGTCCCTAGAAACGGACCCCTAGCATTAATCTGCTAATGATGAGAAACTGTGGAGTAAAGTATGAAGCCGTTGTGTCTGTCTGTGGGTGATGTGGTTGCATCAGTACTTCCTGCTGCTGAGTGTGAGTCAGGAAAGGGCTCCCGGGGTGGAGGGAGCCAGGGGCCCTGTCCAGCTGCCTAATGAGGGCCCAGGGTGCGATTTCTACCTCCATCATTCCTGCGCTGACAGGTGCTCATTACCACGCTGATTCACTGACCGGAACCCGGTGACACTTCCAACGAGGTCTCTGGCAGCGTCGTCCCTCAGGCCTCAGGGCTCGTCCTGCTCCCTAACCGCCTCCCGATACTTATAACCCCCTGAAACTTGGCACAGGCGGCACTGGCCCCCGGGAGTGACGGAGCCAGTGTGTGTTTTGCCAGTCGTTCCTCTGGGATAATATCATTTGGCTCTGTTCACAAACACCAGGCGCATTCTGACTTGCCCGGTGGTCCCTCCCTGCAGGCAGGTAGTCTGCGTTTCGTTCCCCCCCCCGCTCCACAGGTATGTGTTTTTTAACCCGAGTAGGAAAACAAGGCGGTTTGATGTGAGCAGGCTTGCAAAAACAGGAAGTGCCAAGGCGCGGAGACGCCAGCACCCGCTACCAGATGTGCCTTCCTGCGCCGTAAACAAGGGAGGCTCCGCCCAAGCCAGACCCTGGATCCGCCCCCCAGGGGGTGGGGCCAGAGGATAATGGCGAGGCCTGGGGCGTCTCGTCTGAGGGATAGCAGCACACGTGCACCCTGTTTTTAGGGTGGGGCCCAAAGGAGATTGTGTGGGCTGCTAGACACTATGCCAGCAGCAACTGACAATGATTGACAATTAGATGAAATATTCATATAGACTAATGACTAACGAGTCGGCCGTAGTTATTTCAGACGTTCGTGGCGGCTGTGAAGGAGCAAAATCTGTGTTTAGTATGATGCCAATAAAGAAGAAAATAAATAATCAATAATGAGAAGATTCATCTAATCCCCTATGGAGTTGTGTGTCGGTCACACTGAGCTACTGAATCCATAGGACAGCAGTGCAGGGAATTGGGTCCTTGAATCCCCAGAATGTGTGATTATTACATTGGATGTGTCATTAATGCATATCGGCCATCTGTAATTCCCCCTGAGGACCAGCATGTACCACCTCCGACATGCTGCTGTCGGTGCCCCACTGTTTCAGCACCGAAACGGCAGAGCAGCACCTGCTGAATTGTAGCCACAGGCCTGGAAGCAGGCGGACGTCACTGTAGAGCATTGTGAGGATGTTTTTGCTGAATCCCCTTAATGCTGTGTTATTGTCTTTCCTTGTCTGTCACCTGAGAAGTATGTGTTTGTGCTTTATTGAAAAATTAGGGTGTTTGATGGTAACTGAAGGGAGTGTCGGTAATCTACCCAGCTATGTTTATGACACTGGTAACTGGGGGGAGGGGGGGGGTCCAAGAAATGAAATAATTGCGATTCTTACGGACTGTTCTTCTGCAGCTATGTTTTATAGTGTTCTGGACTCCGCACATCTCCGAGAAGATCCTGGTGGATCTCATCGGGGTGAGCCAGTCCTTTGCAGAGCTCTGCGTCGTCCCGCTGAAGATCTTCTCCTTCTTCCCTCTGCCAGGTACAGCCCCGCCCTCCGCTGTGTTGCTGGTGCCACCATTACATGCCATGCTGCGTCAATCAAAAGCTAAAGACTCTGCTTTTACGTGTTTCCTGCTGGCTCGCCTCTCATGACTGTTCGCGGGGTGGGTGGGGACCTATCTATGGTGCCGTACGCCTCCCTGGCCTCGCTGTCCCTGAGGTTGGCTTGATGTACGGCCAGAGGACAGCTTTCCTGCACGTTCCCCCGCTCAGTAGCCAGCCACAAACTTGGCCTCAGTGCTAAACTTGAACTCTCGTTATAAAATGCTTTGTGAAAGAGTATTATTTTACTCCACCATATCAGACTTTAGCATTAGTGTTTGCAGCCTATGTTTTGAGTGGACGAGGCGAGTTGATTTGTTAGAAATTGCTCAGGTTGAGTGGACAGTATATATAGATGGCTTGAATAGGCTGCCTTTGCCCACCCCCACCCCCCAGTAACCATCCGAGCTCACCTGACTGGCTGGCTGATGACCCTGAAAAAGACCTTCGTCTTGGCCCCCAGCTCCGTGCTACGCCTGCTTGTCCTCCTTACCAGCTTGGTGGTGCTGCCATATATGGGGTAAGCTCAGCCTTCTCGTCAAAATACCCCGTCCATACACTTGGTTTGCCTGGGATTCCTGCAAATTCCTCAGTGGAGTCACTCTAGTGCAGTGTTCCCCAATCTGGTCATTAGGGACATATAGCCAGTTGACATTTTTGCTCCCTTCCAGCTCCCTGTTCAGACAGTTCGCATTTTTGCTCCCTTCCACCTCCCTGCCAGACAGTTTGCATTTTTGCTCCCTCCAAGCTCCCTGCCAGACAGTTCGCATTTTTGCTCCCTTCCAGCTCCCTGCCAGACAGTTCACATTTTTGCTCCCTTCCAGCTCCATGCCAGACAGTTCACATTTTTGCTCCCTCTAAACTCCCTGCCAGACAGTTTGCATTTTTGCTCCCTTTCAGCTCCCAGTAGGAGCTGGGAGGGAGCAGAGATGTGGGCTGTCAATGGGTCCCCAGAGGACCAGATTTGGAAACATTGTCTAGCTTCCCGGATACTTTAAACGGCCACTGGGCTTTGTCTACAGAGGAATTCGGTCCAAACACATAGCACATAGTATTATTTCCTCTCCCCCGATTGGTCTGCGGGTCTATAAATGCTTTTGTGTTTATTGTTTCAAACAAGCTGCTGAGCATGCTCTGTAGTCTGATAACCATGTGGAAGAATGCTGAATTCCTGCTTAAATAAGGACTGTCCCAGTGGAGACCTCCTCTGATGCCAGGAGCAGTTCAGCAATGCTGTGCTGGGGACTGGTCTTGACCTCGGCCTGACCGCTTCACGGTACAGCCAAGCTAAAGGTTCAGTCAGCACGTTTCAAGCACCCTTAGCCGTCACTCTCACACCAGCCCGCAGACATTAACCACTAAGCACAGTTCCACAAGGTCCTGTCAACAGAGCGGCAAAGCTAACAAAAAGATTAGTATCAGGCTGGAAGGCAGTGCTGACTGTAAATTCCCTGACCGGCTGACAATAAGCAGAATCTGTACCCACAGAGCCGATAATGTCTCCGCAAAACCGCACATTTCGTTTACGGTTTAGTGACTCTTGCGCGTTGTGCGTTTTAAAGAATGACTCCAACGTTTTCTTGTGCAGCTTCCAGATGCTGCACTCTACAGCTGTGAAAGGTCAAGTCAAGTGAAGCCAGTTATTCGTATAGCACATTTAAAAACAACAGGAGCTGACCCAAAGTGCTTTCCAGTCTAGAGAGAACTGATTAACAAATACTACATACATAGTAAAATATATAAATAAAATAGCATGAATAACAAGTAAAATATAATGTGTATATACATAAAATAGCATGAAAACGTGCATACAAGCAATAAGAAAAAAATTGTAAAAATTAAAATGAAAGGAAATGTAATACAATAAGCAACGGATTAAAAAATAAAAGGGTAATGAAAATAAATTGAGTTATTAAAATTAATTTAAAAGTAGCAGACTTGACAGAAACCCTAAGAGAACCTCAAACTGAGTTGAAAGCATGAAAAGTTGATCTCTAATCTAGATCTAAACTCATCTGTAGAAAAGCAGGACTTCATGTAGGATGGGGGGCTATTTCAAAGACGGGGGGCAGCTAGAGAGAAAGCCGGGTCACCTTTGGTTTTGAGGTGAGGAACTGAGAGGAGCTGTTGTGAGTATGACCTAGGTTACTTACACTACGTGTAAAATTCAATTATATGTATATTCTGTGGATTCTGAGCTTTGCCATCTTGTTTTTCCGTATACTTGTATATGGAAAGATGACAATAAAGTTCACTTTGAACTGTATTGTGAGTGCTTTAAAAACAAATAGCAAAATTTTTAAATCGGCTTTAACTTTGCCAAGGTTTTGAACTTCATTATGTGAATTTACGGACAGGGGACCAAGCGCACTGCTAAGGTTAGAGTCAAAGTTTCGGGGCCAAATACAATTACTTCAGTTTTTTCATTTAGTTGAAGGAGGTTCCTCTCCATCTAGCATTTAATATCATCCAAGCAATTGAGCAGTAATCTGTAAAACTGTGTCATCTGCACAACAAGCTGTAATCTGCATAACAGTGATGCACAGCCTTACTGACACTGCAGCCTTTAATTGTCCTAATTATCTGTTTCCGTTTCTCTTGCCACATTACAGATGGAAAAATGCCTGGCATTTTATCTTGATTTCTGGCTTTGTATTATAAAACGCTCAAGTTTCAATAAGGGTGTGTAGCCTTGTTACATCCACTGTTAAATAGCCCTCTTATGCAACGGGCATGTTTTGCCGAACCCCCTGTAATTAATAGGGCATGTTTGTTCAGTTCATAGGGCAGTTAGAGCAGCGTGTCAGAAATCATAAATCATCCCTGCACAGCATTAAGATGGTGTCATCCGGGAAAAAAACACGGAAATAATCAGTAGCTTTTGCCTGTAGGGACGGGTGCTGTCAGGTTGGTGGTCTGAGTTTATCCTGGATTACTTAAATACTGGCTCTAGTCGTAGTCTTTTAAATCTGTCCTGTTCACTGAGGAATTGTCACACAGTGTTCAGCCCCACGCTCATCTCCCGGCACGTATGTTTGACCCGTGTTACCAGGATAAAAGGGCAAGTGCAGCGGCTCTTTCTGAGCTTGTGCTGAATAATTCAACAGCCGCATCAATAATTCATCCACATCATGGAAAATATTATCCTAGATTCTTCATTCCAGTAATGCCGTTATTCCGACCCAGCGGAACCAGACAACCCCCTGGAAAAAATGGTCACCTTTCTCCTTTGAGGGGCGTCAACATTGTGAACCTGTCCACCATACCTTCTCTGGCATCTTAAATGTAGGTTCTAGATTCGATGGTTCCTTCAGAATCTGAAAGCGACTGATTTTCAGCTGCAGGTAAATGAGTGTGGGAGTGTCTTATCATCATCATCATCATCATCATCATCATCATCATCTGCAGATCCCCTGCAGCTGCGTCACTTCACGCTGTAATGCAGCAGATATGTTCTCACCTTCTGCATGATCACTGAGATCGTGTGTCATGTTGCAGGGTCCACGGCGCCACATTGGGGGTGGGGTCCCTGTTAGCAGGTTTCCTGGGGGAATCTGCCATGGTGGCGGCAGCTGCCTGCTATGTATACAGGAAACAGGTGAGTTCTGAAGAGACTCGGAGGGCTAGCTGCATTTCAGGGTGGGGGGTATAGATATTATGGACACAGATGGACATAGTGGCCCTTGTGCATCTGAAGGATCACAGTTTGATGGGTGATCAGACCTGGACTGTATAAAAAAAAATATGTACATGTAGCTATGAGTGAGCATCTTGCACTGATGTTAATGCTAACCAAGCAATAACCAGGATAGCCACTATATTTCTGGAAATCTTAGCGCAGCGCATGCACTCTTACAATCAGTTTCCTGACGTTTTAGCAGTAAAATGAATTTACCATTGAATTCACTGTAAATTCTGTGTAGTAATACTTGGCGTTTTCTGGCATCTGGCTAGGAGACGAGTCGTCGCTCTGGTAGCCCATGGCTGTATAGCGTGGCGAGTCCTTTGCTGGAATAAACTTAACCTGTTTCACACAGAAAATGTAATCATGGTGGGAAATGTTCTTGGGTTAAGTACCGAAAATGTAAGATTTTAATTGCATGGAATTTAAGCTCGTAGGAGAGGAACTGGTTCTTAACAAAGCGTTCAGGAGGTAACACCAGTCAGGGGCTGCATTCCCTGCATATGGGATTTCAGGGAGATGACGTTAGAGATGCACCAATGGGATCGGCGTCAAAGAGCCTGCATGTGCAGGTTTATGTGGCGATTCAAAGGTCAGGGTATGAGAGCAGAATCCACATCACCCTGCAAACCCGGTCTGGTGTCATCAGAAAGCTGCACCCAAAGCAAGAATGAGTCTCTCCTTTCTCTGCTTTCAGAAGAAGGGAGACGTGGATAATGAAGCCGCAGCTGACGAGGAGGACATGGCCCCCATGAATGAGGCAGGGCCCAGCAGAGCGAGGGAGGATACTGCTGATCTGCAGGAGGAGGTCAATTAGACGTGTTTAGGAGTGGCATAGCAGGGCAGGGGAGAAGGTCACTCCTCCTTCATTACATCTTTTTAAATGACGATCCACAGCGAGGCCGGGCGCTTGGGTCCCTCGGCAAGATGCCATTCTATACCAAAGCAACACCTCGAACTGGACCTCTTCCAGACAGACCTCCTGCACGTTCAGACTAAAACCCAGCATAGACATTTCTGTAGGACACCTTCAACCGCTCGGACATGATCAGATTCCTTGGACTTTGTGACTGCCACAGAGCCGATTAAAAAAAAAAAAAAAAAAAAGAAAAATGTAAATGTAAAAACAGTAAAAGCTTCTGGCCCCGGCAGCCCCGTGATTGGTTGACTGGTTCCCCATTCAGCTGCATGTCAGATAGAGGTAGAGCGTTTCCATGACATGGGAGTGACAGGTTGTCGTGCTGGTGCCATTTAAAGGACCTATTTTTTTAATCATAAGGTGGTAGCTGTTCAAATATTACCGTTTTTTGTATCACTGATATGTATAAAGTGAGTGGCGGGGTGGGGGGGTTCTAGTTGCTCTTTGTCCCTTAAATCCAGTCAACTCTTCTTCTGATCTCAGGACATGATTCCACAGCGGGCGTGAATGCCGCTTCCCTCACTCATGGTCCTCTTTGCACGTGTAATAGCTTTTTGCTATTTTTAATTTTTATTAGACTGTAGTCGACAGACCCTCCATCTGAGGGCTGGAGACTCCCCCTTACTGGTGGTGACTCTGAGGCTTGAGCAGTCACATGATTTAAGAGAATGAAAAGGGACACTAATTATTCCTCAACTGATTAAAGGGTGATTTAAAAGTTTACAGTTGTGCTGATTGTTTGTCCCCCAAACTATTTTCAAAAAGGAAGAACGGAGGGAAGTTCTTAAAAAATGATGCATGTCCATAACCACAGAGAAAGTGCTCTCTGGAGCTGCCCAGTTGTACCATCAAGTCACTGGTATGCGTGTCTTCACCACCTGCGCTGCAACCAGTTTTCTGATTATGAATGACACACTGGGGAGGGAGGATAGACTGGTTTTCATAAATCAGGTGGCAAGAGACTAAAGGCTCATTTATGCTTGGTGTTAAATCTGGAGGCGGAGCCTTCTCGCCGTTCTCTGTATTCATTTTGTCTGCATTTGTGCATGTTTTCTGAAGACAATAACACCAGAAATCATGGGAGGTGGTGTAGCCAGTACTTTAAGCGAAACACTATAGGTGTTTATCAAGATAATTATGTTGTACGCACAGGATAATTATTGTGAGCGCACTAGAAATTATATACATAATCAGGACACTCCACAATCTACTTCAATCTTAGAATATCTTACAAAGGCATTATTGTTACACTGCAATAAAAGGTAGCCTCATATTTGATATTCAGTTTTGCGGTTGTAATATGTTTTAACAAAGGCAAGCCAGGCGGTTTTTAATGTCCGGTACACAGACCGCGATGGATTTTTGTGATGCAAGCCCTCTCACTATTTGTGTTTAATATTAACTATGAAAACAGACTACTTCAATGAATGTTTGCATGTGCACTGCACATTCACTTATAGTCAGGTGCCCTAAGTGTCCATTCATCGCACAAAAGGGTGTAATAACTGTTCTAATAACTCTAAAACAAGATGAGACAGAGACATCAAGTTTACTGGGGGGGAAATACACGCCAATTGGATATTCAGTTTACTGGTATGTCTTTCCATGCATTGGAATAAATCAACAGGCTAATAACTCTAAATTTAAATGACATGCCAAGGATATCGTGCTTTAAGCAGTTCCTTGTGGTACAGTGCACATTAAGTGGTCATTTATTGCACTAACGAATAAAGGTAGATCTTCAGGTGTAAGGTTGGTAGCCATTGCTTTGAAGTCTGGCTAATTTCTTGTGCGCTTATGATAATATATCGTGTGCACAAGATAATCATTTTTTCAGGGTGTGAAATCATAAACACCCATATGAGCCACCTTCTACAACACTGCCTCCGCTTTTGCCTCTTTGAGGAGTACATTATTACGACCATGTTTGTCAGAAACTTCTGACTGCCCCGCCCTCTAGTGGATGCGTGCCAACATAAAGGACTAATGGAAATGGAACTGACGCATTTATTTTCATACATAAAGCATAAATGAGCCTTAAGGCAGTCAAAGCCTGCTCCCTGTGGCGGTCCAGTCATCCCAAACCTCACAACAGATGGTATAGAAATGCTAATTTTGGCCAGTACAAACCAAAGAGCTGCTAGGCACCTCAGAGGATTATAGGGTTCTATGCCCATGAGCGGAAGGTTGCTGGTTCTAATTCTATACAGGCAAAGTATTTACTTCTATCCCCACTGATCAAGGCCCTTAACCCCAAATGCACACAGGATATATTAACCATCCCTACACTCCATTGCTTTGGACAAAAGCATCCACAAGAGCTTTTCATAAGAGAATCCCTGTAGGCTGGTTTTATTTTTTAAGACCAGTCAAAAAAAATGCTCCAGCAGTTCCAGGAACCACAGGATACAGCATTAGTAATCAGGCTGCCAGGATGTCCTACCCTGCTGAAAAACACAGGGAGCCAAGGTGAAGGTGTGGCCGAGGTGAAGCTGAAGAGCCCATCTGCAGCATTCTTCATCCCAAACAAAGATTTGCTAACCAATTCTTCCTCATTATTCCAAATATCACAAGAGTCACAAAGTAGTCTTGCTGCTTACTGACACGAGTCAGTAATTGCTTGAGTGTCCACCTCCTCTGCAGGTCTGGTGGCCATCACTAGTGAGCCATTCACAGGGAAAGCTTCTTTGGAGAAGTGCAGGTGGTGCCATGGGGCTCCTGAGAGTTGGCGCCGTCCAGCAAGGCCACAGGAATGTTGTAGTGACGGTCATCTTCAGTGACGAGAGACACGTGCAGCCAGTCATCTTTGTGGTCATCGGGATAGTAGGTGATGAACTCCTCCGTTTGTGCCTTGTACAGACGATATACCCTGATCGTGCTCTTCAAGGTGTAGCCCAGGAGAAACATCTCTACCTGGAAGACAGGCTACGTTTCAGTGGACGAGTAATTCTATGGGGCTGGTGGCAGGTTTCATTAATTGAAGGATCGAATCAGAACGGTGGCAAGAATCTGCTCACTGAATTTAACAGATAATGGGCTGTAACATTGACGGGCAAATAGCTCAGAAGCTACAGTAACAGGTCTGACCTATCAGTCTACCAGTTAGCCACATCAATAAAAGCATCACTTGCCCAAACATGAAGAACATACCATGAATCACACCCTTAGAGGACAGAAGCAGCCAGGCCTATGCTACAGGTGCAACTCTCAGACGAACAGGGAGGACCTCGAAATGACTGTACACCTTTCTGACAGACCCGCAGGGCTGATGGGAGGGTGTGCTCAGCAGAGCAGCGTGCGGCGAGCCGCAGAGAGGGTGTGAAAAGAGAGACAAACACGCAAATCTGTGTGCGTCTAGCCCTAAAGGCAGGACTCAACCACAGACACCTGAGATTTCCCAGCAAGATCAAGAACAAACACAAATATACCTGTGCAAGGTTACTTCGGGTATAACTGTTAGACTCAGTTACACTGTACAAGTTCATGCTGATTTGGGACATGCCATCTCGGGTCTCATTAGCTGTCTCTGTGATTCAGACACACCCATCATTGTGACATTGCGTGGTAGAACTTGGACCCGCAGATGGGAGGCTGACCTGCTCAAGGCCGCCGCTGAAGCCCACTAGGCTGAGATGGTTGGTGAGGAACGCCCGTGGACAGCTGGAGGAGTCGCGGGCGAACAGGAGCCAGCTGAAGTCGGGCACGGGGTCGCCCCTGTGCATGCAGCTGTACAGCTCCACAGCCGTGCACAGCATGAGGAGCTTGACCGCCTCCAGGAGCCCGTACTCCAGCTTGCCGCCCTGGAACACCTGCTCGCACGTCTGCTGCCTCGCGAGGGCGTTGCATGACTGCACTGCCTGCTGCCACTAGACACAGAGACGTGGCGTCAGAACACGACATGCCAGTCAACAACCCAGTGCCAAGTGATCTTACAGGAAAACAGTACAGAGGATTGTGGCACGCAAGAGGCAAGAGTGTGGCTTGACAGACACAAAAGTCCCTAATAACCCCCCAATGCAGATCACATGGGTGCAACGTGGGTAGCCGGGGGGGGGGGGTACCTTTTTTTTAAGTAGGTCCAGGTAGTACTTCAGGCACTCTGTGGTGGAGCCGAACCCACCCTGTTCCTTAAGGTCTAGGGGGAGCCTCCAAAGTTTGATCAAATCCTCCTGTCCCAGCAACTCCAGCGGCCACTACAACAGACACACTTCCAGAAACAACAGGTTTCAAGCATGAGGGGAGGGGGGGGTGGGGGGCAGGTCCGGCTGAGGAGTCTGCCACGATGGCCGCCACAAACGCACCTGGGTGATGTCTCTGTGCTGGAGCCAATCAGGGGGTGGGTGGTGACACAGCACCTGGAAGAGTGTGGCCCGCAGGGCACAGTAATTATCCCCCCTCACTCGCCGAAGGCCTTGGAAACTTTGGGCCACGACCTCATAACCCTGTAGACGGGGCAAGAAATGCTGGCAATTTCAAGGTGCAGCAGGAAGCAGGAGCCTGGGGGGGGGGGGGGGGGGGGGAGTGTCACAGGAGACCCAGGGTGCCAGTGGGATCCTGCTCACCTTTCTGATGAGGGTGCTTTTGGCTGTGTTGCCCCTCCATTCTCTCTCACTGTAGTACAACAGGTTCACCTCCTGTGCCACGCTGCATTGGTCAGTAGGGGCTGCGTCACCTATAGGAGGAAGAACACAATCACCATAACCGTCAGCCGGCGTAACAGTCATCTGGCATAAGCATCAGCCGGCGCAAGAGTCATCCGGCATAAGCATCAACCGGCGTAACAGTCATCCGGCATAAGCATCAGCCGGCGTGACAGTCAGCCAGCATGATCTCCCCCAATCCCTGCGCGGTTCATGGACACGCCTGTAAAAGATATCCATCCTAACCAGTTCCGTCAGCAGCCCACGACACCACCCAGGGAGGGTACCCACGCTGCTCCCGTGCCCTGCTCCGCCTGTCACGCTCCTCCTCGATCTCCTCGGCCGCCCGGTACAGGTCCACTTCCCTACAGGAGGCCGAGATACAAGAGTTTAAGTATGAAAAGGGGAGATTCACCAAGTAAACTTTAATAAAGGCAGTGCAGGGAGGGGTCAAGGGGACGACAGCAGAAACCCGAGAACCAAAAACGAGCAGAAAACTGGCTTTGCGGAGCCGATCCATGAGAATCACCCAGGAAAATGTTTAAAGTCTTCACAACACGAGACCAGACATGTGCCTTTGCCTCATCACTCTGATACATTCCCCATAAATAACAGTCACAACACATGCATACCCACTGTCGTCATCAGTTGGAGCAATGCTACCCTCTGCCTTCATTGGTTCTCTATTTACATCCACCAGCGCAGGATGGCTCTGATTGGCCGAGTCCTTCGGGCCTTTAGCCTGGGATTGGACGAGGTCGTCCTGCGCAGCCCCCTTATCTGTTCTTGCTGTGTCCTTCCCAGCATCCTGCCCTGGGGTAACCTCCTTTGGAAGCACCGGCTTCCCTGTCCCAGTCAGCCCCTCCTGGGGACTCGTGGCCCTATCCTTCTTACTGGTTTCACTGTGGATATGAACAAAAACAGAGTGGCCCATAAAGGTCTTTTACTAAGGGCGTTTCTCCACTGCACCAGGTACCATACTTTTCATTTCTAGTTATGCCCCCTGCATCTTTTTGTTGTATATGTTCTTACGAGCAAATTGATATTTTTATTCCGTTTATGATTATTTCCTGAGTTTGCGACCGTTTTCAAGGCGGCGTTTGTATTGTGTTTCAGCGGCAGGCTATTTGCATAACCGATCGACAGATAAATCGTTTCAAGTCCTACCCCAAAACAGTGAAGTACCAAAGGAGTACCCCAACTGCACAAGTCAAAGGAAAAGCGAAACCACCAAAAGTACGGTACTGGGTGCAGTGGAAAAGCACCCTAACAGTACATAATATAGCACACTAGCCTTCATTAAAATGCTTTCAAAGGCACTAACCCTAACCAGCCCCCCAGTGCAGGAACACCACTTTCAATACAGCTCTTTCCAGTTACCACCACACTGTTAGGCTCACACCACCCAAGTAAAGTCCAGTAAAGACTGGTATGGTTATTTAATAGTAACCATCAATTCACCACAATCTGCCATTGTGATACAGAGGATGTGTCCATTTCAGCCAGCTGTTTAAAAGCTGGTAAAAGAAAATACATGATAGTGACTAAGTTATTCCCAAGAAGGCAAAGTAAGCAGGTGTCAAACAGAACAAACAGTGCAGATTCTTGCTAGTGTGGTCATGGGGTGCCCCCTAGTGGAAATACAGGCACACCTCACCATTAGTTACCTCTGTCCAACTGTGGTCTTCTCTTGTAACTTGGAGGCTTTAGGCCTGCTGGTGGAACCCGAGCCATTGGCACCAAGGCTCTCTGCTGACCCGCATTTGCATTTCTCCTGCTTGCCTGTGCTGGCCGGATCTCTGGGCTTTTCGGCGCAGACAGTCAGGGTCAGACTCTGGTCCTGACGCATGTCGGCGCCAAGACCCGCATTCCTGTGAGGACCATGAAATATCAACAGCTCAAACATTGCAAATAAGTAAGAATACCAGAGCAATTTCATTTTGTAAGGAAGAGTGATCAGCTGATCAGAGTCCGCCCACAACGAACCATTCACTGATTGCATGCAAGTCCCAGAATTTCAAACCTGGGCTCCTGATATTGGCAATTATTACTCAGAAATCCGTTCATTCAACACACATATGCTTCTGGAATTTCCCCCGAGACACAACTCCCTCTGACTTTCGTTATAAATGTCAGCATGACACTTTCTAGATGAATGGCTCAATGCAGCCTATCAGGGCTCAACCCATTCAATAACCAACCAATAAAATTCAGCCAATATTAATGTTCCACAAATTCATCAGCGGAAAATCCAAAGATAAAGTCACTTTAAAAATCTATGAAGGACCTTTTCTCTGTAATCACATTCACCCTAAGCCAGACGTGGGCAACAGCCGACCCCAAGCAATTTTTACTGGCCCACGCAATCATTAAAATGGAAAAAATGTTTTATGTTTAAGATGAACAGATTTTGCCCCACAAATCTTTATTTGAATCGGCTAGCGAAAAGATCTAAGTGCCTTCGACTCCAACTCCTGCATCGACAAGTCGTGGCCACCAGTTCATGGTCTCTCTCTCCTCGGAGCTGACCATGGCTGACAGAGTACTCCACAAGCCTTGCAATTCCAGAGATGCTCTGACCCAGTCATCTGGCCATAATGCTTTGGCCCTTGTCGAAGTCACTCAGGTCTTGATGCTTGCCCCTTGCCTCTGCATTCAACATATCAACTACGAGTACCGAATACTACTGTGTAATGTATCCCAGATCTTCACAAGCACCTTGTTTACGACATAGTCAACATTATTTGGTTCACATAGGGGTGGTTGTAATGTTTTGGCTCCTCAGTGTATGCTAGACATGAAAACACACATGTTCTATTGATTTCTGTATGTGTTTAAAAAAAAAGTCTATTACTGTATCGTTTATGGGACATGAAAAATAATCAAAAAAACGGTTCCTGCTGACATGTGAAGAGCAGATTTGGGCATCCACAGAAAATAAGTTGCCTGTTAGTCCACAAAGGTTCCAGGCAGAAGCATCACAAACTCACCCAGGGACTGCTACATGGATATGCTCCGAGTCGGCCAGCTTGGGGACACTTTCACAAGGAGTCTCCACCTGGGACTCGCTACAGAATGAGGACTTATCCTGAAGAAGCTTAGAGTTTAGGAAGGTGCCTGGACAGCGGCCTGCCTCAAGATAGGCTTGGTCTTTGGGTCTATCGGCAATTTGCCTGTGCTGCAGATGATGCTGCTGGTTTGCTACGACTACGTCCTCTGCTTTGGTAGAAGGGTCCTCAATCTCCACAGCCTCTGTAGAAGGGGACGTGCAGCTTATGGCTCCATTGTTTAGGGGCAGAATGTGGTCACCTTCATCCAATATGTCAGCAGAGGTCTCCACCATGCCAACATCTCTCACCAATCCTGCTCTCCGACTAAGGCAAAAAGAAGAATCAAAATTAAATGGGAAAATTCAAAGAAATTCAGTTAGGTACAGACCTCGGTTTTCGTTTCACGATTTGGTGAAATTTTGGTATAGCTGCATTGCTTTCTTTTCTTTTTTTCTAGCTTGGTTTGGATTTCCTGGCAAAAGCGCCTCAGATGCTACAGAAGACTAAGTTCCAGAAGCTGTTTCTGCCTCTCTCCAGTCATACACACACTCTGATGATGTTGTCTCAAATGAGATCAGTATAACAGAACTGACACACAGTCTTCGCAGATATCTCTTAACTACTCTTTCTCAAGTGTCTCCAGTATAATTTATTGGGTAAAGAAAACGTTCCCAAACTAAAGATTTAAGTAACGTAGGAGGGTCTTTGACATCCCCAGAAATAGCTATAACCAACTCAAAGCCAGAATTATCATGTTTTTCGTGCTGATCATCTACTTGTGAATTTAGATTCCATCCATGTCAAAAAATGTATTCATTCATTTCACTGTGCATTCCAAACAGAATATGTCACTGAACAAATATTCGATAACATTGATAAACTTTATGAACAGACAAAGTTGTTACTAGGCAAAATTAAAGCAATATGGTATAATGTGGCATTTTGATATTTTACAAACAAAATTACCCAGTACCCCATCACCTACCCACCCAGCTCCTGGAATTTATTGGTTTATCAAGATTTCAAAATACCAGAATAGTGTTGCTTTTGAAAATACAATCAAAATACCAAATACTGTGATATAACGTACAATCGTTAGCAAGCTAAATATGGCTGAAAAAGTGGAGCTTTGTTTCTATGCTAATTTGTCATTTTAAATTGAGATCCTCTACACTGCATAAAGAGGTAATTACAACTGTGACATTAAAATACTTCTTGATGTTTTATTAAATAAAGCATTTTTGCTTTTCTTCAAATCCAGTGCTTTGGCCCACCAAATCAATTACAGAAGTTTGTGCTTCGCCATATTTGACTTTGATGAAATTTGGCATATAAATGATCGAGCCCTGAAATGCTGCTGTTTTTTTTTTTTTTTATTTAAAAATCCCATATGTGGTGGTGATGTCACCATGAGTCTCACTAATATAACAGAAACTTTGTGTTTGGATCTCCTTCTCTTTTCCAGTAGACAATGAACGGGTGTGATGTGGCCTGCAAACTTTACCAGTGTTATGCCTGGACTTCATCTTGTGAGACAAAGGAGTAATTTTCGGGAAAGTCCTTCAAAACAATTTACACACTTTTAGCTACACTTCAGGCCATTTTTATGAAATATGCCGACTAAAAGAGAGTGAAGAGTTTTAGTGACTTTTTTTTTGTAAGTTCAGAGCCTCATAACTCCTACCAACCTTTGAATAACAATTCTTTTTTCCATTTGAAATTCAGACCAGGCTAAAAAAAATATGCCTGTAAGGGTGTTTACCGGCTTGCGTTTGGAGAGCATCCTCACCATGGGAACCACAGCCCAGTTTGGTAATTGTTCTACTCTGGACCTCAAAGCTCTGCAGGGTGGTAGCTTCAGCTGAACATTTATCTCAGACAATGCAGGAGCAGAGCTGCCAAAATCTGCAGGGATACAACCCACCCAAATAACTACCTCTTCATCAGGCTGAGGTCTGGGAAGCACTTCTGCTGTCTCTCAGTGAGAACCTTGCACTCTCAAGCCATCAGGGCAATAAGCATGTCATAAATGGTTAGAATTTAATGTTTACTGCTTATTTATACACCTTGTACTTTATTTGAACTGTGTTGCACATCTCATTTTGAGCCCCCAGTATAATATAGTCCATTATTTATTAAATTTATTACGCTGTTAGCTTTTTGTCAGTTTACATTCAAGTATTTTTATGTTAGTTAGTTGCCCATCTTGCATTTCACTACAGGTTACAGCCTGACTGTATACCTTGCACATGACAAATAAAACCCTTGAATCCTTTTAAAAACTGGCCTCCCTGAATCTTCCTGGGTATTCTATTCATCCATCCATCCATTTTCTGAAACTGCTGAATCCCAACTGGGGTCGCGGGGGGACCGGAGCCTATCCCGGGAACAATGGGCGCAGGCGTGAACCAACCCTGGGCAGGTGCCGACACACCGCAGGGCACACGCACTCACACAACTGCAGGACCAATTTAGACACACCAATCAACCTATCCTGCACGCTTTTGGACCGTGGGAGGAAACCGGTGCCCCGGGGGAAAACCCACGCGAACACGAGGAGAGTGTGCGAACTGCACACGGATTTCCTTGCTGTGAGACAGCAGCGCGAACCACTGCGCCGCCCTCCTGGGTATCCATGACCCAGCATATGTTTTTCATTATAAAAGCCAACATCTTATTCCAAGTCCATCATTGGGTGTTTCCTCAATATGTGTACTTGACCGTACTTGTGTTCTCGTGTACCTGTTATACATCATCTTCCATTGCCGAAGACCAGTTCCAATCCAGTTCCAATACTCAAGAACAGACGTATACAGAGGATGGTAAAAATCCCCGGATGATGTTCATGCCCCGCCCCAAATATCAAGGATGCATTGGTCACATCCTTGCCAAACGAGACCAACCCCATGATTCACTGAGCTCCAAGTTCATTCTTGGGTGGCAAGTTAGCAAGACCGGTTTTGCCAAGTACGGTCTTTGCGTTCTTCATATTGAGAAATTTATTTTTTATTTTTCTTTAAACTGAAAGTAGTGAAAATGCAGTTTCACTTCAAAAAGGAAACTTAGAAAATCTGACAATACCATGAAAAAGTCCTCTGGGCTTTCTAACTAGCTATAGGCGAGTAATGCAGCTGCAATAGTTAAAAAAACCACACTGAATTATTTTTTTTTATTACCTGCAGTGCTATATCGCAAAGGGAAAAAAAAATCTGATCTCTGGAAAGTATGCGTAATTCATATGCCAGATTTTATCAACATAAAAACAGCGATGCAGCGGCCATTTGCAATGGTGGCCTAATGGTTAGGGAAGCATGCTTATGATCGAAAGGTTATTGGTTCGAATCCCTGACGAGCAAGGTACCACTTGAAATGCTTATTCATGCTTTAATCTAGTCTTGTTTAGACTCATGTAATGCTCTGCTTCTGTGACTAAATTTATCTTCCGTCTCCTGTCTCCAAGTTGTTCAAAATGCAGCAGCTAGGCTTTTAACCCGTCCTAGCTGAATGGTGCACATAATACCTGCACTGTCATATCTGCACTGGCTTTCTGTCGATTTTAGGATAAGGTTTAAGATCCTAATTATTACCTATGTGGCTCTGAATAGTCAGGCCCAAAAGTATTTTACAGATCACCTTGAAAATTATTAAACCAATCGAGTGCTCAGACCTCAAGAGAAAGGGCTGTTAGCTATTTCATGAGACTCATGGCGATGTGCCTTACAATCTGTTGCCACAAGGTTATTACATAATCTTCCTAGATGCAGGTGATCAAGCGGAGTATTTTAAATGTAATCTTAAAACTTTTTTCATTTAAACAAACTTTTGGTTAGTTAAATATTATATATTTTATTGTCCGTGTACTGTAAGTTGTTTTTATTTAACTTTTTGACTATTGTCTGTGAAAAAAGCGCTTTATAAACAGTTTAACTTGCTTACATTCTTTGATTGTTTATAAACATTATCGTCAATATTCGTGTAGTAATTTTTAAAGCATGATGTCAAAAATGCTAGGTGTTTCCACAATTTTGGCCACTCGTGTATAACAAAACAATGAGGAAGGCGCAGGCAGCAAACAGGACGGGCGGCTCACCGGGCAGGTGACTTACACCTGATGGCGGCCTAACGCTGCAGTCGGCGGCACCTGGGCGTTTGCTTTCTGCCTGCACTCAGACACGGTAATTCCTGGGCCTCTATGGATTGGCCGCCATCACCATCCTCAAAGGTTAATGTTTACTTTCTTAAGCTGCTCACCAGCCATCGTCTAACTTCATCTCGCCCACGACAATAACTAATGATTAACTTACCAAGAGCCCCCGCCAGAAGCCTATTAGTTTACACGTCGGTTGACATTACAGGATTCAGCAACACGTACTACTTCAGTTTGTTAGCTATACAATGTAAATTTAATCCGCAGATGATTGCAAATGCATAGCGATATTTTTCAGCGACACGGATACTCCACTCCAGGCGCCGGCTGAGGTACCGGAAACTGCCGTTTAAAATACCGGATGTTCAGGCGTAATTCTGCCTACATTCTACATAAAAAACTACAATTCCCAGCTGCCTTCGGTTCGCACACATATAGCCTCCCTAGTATAACAAAAGTACTGTCACCTATGGTTCTTAAATAAAGAAGGTACCGTACAATTTTAAAGGAATGTTTTTTTTTTTTTTGTAAATTCCTTTTGTTAATACTCTCGTTAAAAATACCATAAGGATACGCACCAGGCGGCAGATAAGCAAATTGTAAAGAAAAGCATAACTGTACTATTAACACAATCCATGATAGTATAACATAAAAAGCAAAACACAGTAACTACGCTGATAATGAAACAGAAAAGGGGTGTTTGCCTTGGTTTTAGTGTGGACTTAGTGTAGTTACACCCTGGTTTCTTCAAAACTAAGCATAGCTAAACTAAAACATTTTGTCACAGGATGAAACAGCTATAGAGGCCAGATTTCAATTTTGATAAAATATGCAGTTACTGTGACATCTCTGCTGGCTGCCCTGTTGTTGTATCACTATTCATCTTGCCATCAGAAGCAGCACCCTCACCTGCCTGCCCCCTGCATATATACTCAAATCTTAAAATGTGGACTGTGTAAATTAGGATATTGCCATGTTGTTCATTTGACTTCCTCTGCTGGCCCCTGGAGGATGGGCTCCCCGTTGGAGTTTGGTTCCTCCAAATGTTTTTCCCCTACTAGGGAGTTTTTCCTTGTCACTGTCAACTCTGGCTTTCTCAGTGGGGCTTTTGGGCAGGGATATTGTAAAGCACTATGAGACAATGTAATGTGTTATACAAATTAACTTTAACTAATTCAGTGCAGTTTAAGTTGAAGTTAAACTGATCTGAAAACCGTGTTTTGCCTTTGCAGGGCAGAACAGATACAGTAAATAACAAACGTGCTTTTTGCAAGGCATTCAAATCAAGCTAGCAAGTAGCTCCACATGTTTGCTTTACTTTGTGAATTCTCAGCCTCACTCGCCATTCCTCTTCATGTATTAAAAGAAATGTCTTTTAGGAAAAAAATAAATATCTTCATTAAAAAGCAAGGCACAGCTAGAGTGCGGGACACAAGATAACATCAATGGATTATCAGAGTATTAGCTACAGTCGGTCTTTGATTTTCTTCCCTAATTTATTATTATTTTATTATTATTGTTGTTGTTGTCACCCACCCCCCGGCCGGCAAATTCTACTGAGGATGTGTTCTGGGGCACTTTATTGTACTTTGTGAAAAAAGCGCTTTATAAACAGTTTAACAGTATAACTTGCTTACATTCTTTGATTGTTTATAAACATTATCGTCTCCTGCTCCTTGCCCAGGGGTGGTGTCGAAGGACCCCACTGTACTGGTTCACCCTGTCCCTAACCAGCACACTTCCAGGCAGAAGGAGGGAGTGGTTACCGTTTCTCTGGAGCACCGGAATCCTCCTGCTGCTTCTCCACGTTACCCTGCCCCTTCCTCTCTTCTCCAGCGGCGGAGGGCTTCGTATCGTCCGCACTGTCCAACCTGTCTGTGGAGAAGCAGCTGCCCATGTTGAACGCCGTGTTTCCTCTCGGTCTTCGGTGAGCGAGCATTACGGCCCAGCGTTACGTGGCACGCGGCGGGAGCAGCATGCTCACAACCTGTCCCTGTGAAACTGAGAAAACGGGAACCAGTCTGAACAAAAGCCCGGCTGTTCTGAGACAGCACAATATGCGAAGCTTTCAGCAGCGATGAGCGACAACTGAGACACCAGTTACTGATGAACGTCACCTGCTGCCTGTCAATCTTCACATTAACCCTGACAGACAGACATTCATATTATACAATGCAGAGTCACAAAAATAATAAAGTATGGGCCAGTGACTATAATTGTTCTTGCAAACAGTTTTACCAAGTAAGCGTTTTAATTTAGTGACTTCACAATTTTGGAACAGATTGATGGGAATCTCATGTAAGTGGTGTTAAATCCACAAGTTAAACACACAAGCGCGCCTCGTCTTCAGACACAGCATGAAGGGCTGGCTGCCTTTACTCTTATTTAAAGTTAAATTACTATAATGAACCAATATTGATTCCAAAGAAAAAAAACACCTCCTGACGCTAAATAAGGTACAAGCGGACACACTATACCCCTCCCCCGTTACAGATTTATAGTTCACAGTACTTCGCGTTGTTACCCATGTTACGATTAATCATCATATAGCACTGGGGATTTTGTGAATTTACCCGGAATTTATCATTGTGAAATATCACACTAAGTGTTCCTTTGGGTCAAGACCGCTATAAGCATAACCTACTATGGTTTACCGTAACTACATCAAGCTGTCCGCCAAGTACAGTTTAATATGACGTATACATGGGTGTCGAATTGCAATGCAAAGCAAATAAATTAATTGATTAAAATAAAACTTAAAAAAGATTAACAAACAAAACATTCCTGAGGAGCGACCTGTCCGTTTCGACACTAATAAATATTTAAACGCGTCTTGGACGAAAGGCACCATGCTATGGTTTAAAATAGCGAGTTTACCTTGTACGCCCTTAGTGCTTTATGGTGAATTTTGCTAACATGGGAGTATTCACTTTCCGCTATCAGACGTTGTGAAAGCACCAAGCGCCGCTCCGGCGTCCATGGAGCAAACGCCCGTCAAAACCGCAAAGTTCAAGCCCACGCAGTTCTAAGCTTCACGCAACGGAGTTTCCATCATTAACACGGAACAAGCACGTCTTTGTGATATCTGCGTATGGGTTTTACAATTGTACAAACTAAATTTAAGCAAGTAGGTACTCAAGACACACCATTACCCACAATGAACGGAACAGGAAATGTCCTTACGATACTTGACCTAATGCGGTGTATGTCTCGTCTATCCTTCCAGATAGAGCCACTTGGAAACGTGCAGCATGTACGGGCAGTCCAATATGGATTTTACTAAAAAAAAAAAAAAGAGACAATTTTACGCATTTTTAATCCCATAAAACCAATGTTGGAGTATTAAGAAAGATATTGAATTAATTCAATAATACATTATTACTACTACTACTACTACTACCAATTTACTCTTTTATATTATTCAGTTTAATATTCAGTTAAAATAAGTGTTTCCAGCAAGTGCAAAATACCCACCAGGCAAAAACGGCGCTGGAAAGTCCAGCCTGTGTCTTTCTTTATGACTATGCAGTAAAATAAACCATAAAATAAATCCTCCACATACGCAGTCCATGTCATTGTAGGTTATACAAGTAACGCCTACTACTACGAGGGATCCAGCGTCAGACACCTCATACGTACCCCGCCGCTTTTACTTTTACTTTTACTACTGAAGACACGTAATGTATTGATTACTGAAATCGGGTATTTAAATCGGCAGCGGTATAGAAGAGACGCGCCCAGAAAAGAAACTGGAAAATGAGTGAAACGATTATTATTATTAATATTATTATTTTTATTATTATTATTATTATTATTATTATTATTATTATTATTATTATTATTAATATACTGGTTCACTGTTGGCAGGATGCCAGTCCATCAGACAGCCTTACCATCAGCCTGGAGAAATTCACCCCGTATACCACAGATCTCTGCGGCCTTCCCTACTGCCAGCTGATTCACCACCTGTGCAATCTGGGTGAGACTGGGTGGTTCACAGCTAATCTGTGGATCAGCTTTGAGAACTGTGGACCCAGAGATGTCCAACATCCTAGCTAGTGGGTCTGCTCTAAACAACTGCTCAAAGTAGCTGGCCCAGCGGGTCACAACTGCAGTGTCATCCGTAAGGACCGTGTGGCGAGGGGAGAAAAGACAGGAGACAGCTTCTTCTCGTGATAGAAAATGAATAGCTTTATTAATAACAAAAAAAGGAAAAAAAGAACATATCCGGTTGCTGCTAAAGAAGAACGTAACTTCAAAATAAAAGCACATCTGCCCTTGGAATTCTGAGCAACTAAGATCCTACTACAACCGTCCCATCACTCGCCCTGACTGCAAGTGGAACAGATTCAGATGTGCGTAACGCTTCGATTCCTCTGTAAGCAGGACGTGGGTCACTAGACCACAGATGGTGTCACCTGCTCACAGATTTGTCTAACAACCACCTCCTTATCTGCCCTCAGAGCCCTCACAGCCGTCCTTCTCAGTTCCTGGTACAGACTGGAGTTGCGACCAAGTTGTGCGCTGCGACTCCTCTCGATAATATCCAGGGTGCCCTGCGAGATGAAACACCTCCTTCTGGAAACACCAACACACAGGGTCTTATCACGGAAGGTCTCCTACATCACATTAGAGTCAGTAGTCACACCCAAGTCTGTAAGTTCCTCACACAGACTGTGTGCAAACTCATGAGAAACAGTTTGATATTGGAATCTGGCTAAGTCCAGCATCATTCTCCTAGAAGGTGGTAGCCTACTGGATCTAAGCTGAATCTCCAGAGTAGCAACAAGTCTGTGGTCAGAATTCACAAACTGGGCACTTCTGTAGACCCTGCAGTTCTGCAGGAGCCTCCAGCGTCTGCCCAAGAGGATGTGATCGATCTCCTTCGCCGCACCACCAGTATTGAAGTACCAAGTCCAACGATGCCACTCAGGACGTGGGGATCAGGATCCAGTGACCCACATCCCCTGATCTTTGGCAAAGTCAAGGAACATGCAGCCATTTTCACCCTGGTCTCAGACCCATGGGGACTGACACAATCCTCATAGCCAGCCCTGTCAGTGCCAGTGGTCGCATTGAAGTCACCCATGACCAGAGGAGTGTCACCTCATGGGCATCCATCAACCACCAAGTGAAGTTGTGAGAAAAATGTGGACCTCAACGAGACATCACTCACCGTGGTCGGACCATACACTGAGACAACAGACAAGACTGAGGCTCATAATACGCTCGTTGAGGAGTGACATCAGACACCATCGGAAGGAGCCGATCCGCTACAGCAACAGCTACTCCCTGAGTATGGCAGGCCAACCAGACCAAAAGTAGGTATACCCAGCTACAGAGATCTGACCACTCCGCGGACCTCAGAGAGTGCTGCCACCGAAACGCAGAGTATACGAAGCTCCCCCGACAGCAGAGGAAGAAGGTATTCTTGCCAGAGAGACAAGACGTTCCACGCGCCGACCCAGATGGGCCGCCTCAAACTGGGACACAAGTGCCGCCAAGCAGCGGCTGATGCCTCAGCACCACACCAGCCCCGATCCCCAACAGGCCTGACCCTATTAGCTCTCCGAGGGTTTCCACTCATCCAGGGATGGGGCTCCCGAAGACTTTCCCACATCCCCTTCCTGCGGGCGGCTGCCGCAGAGCTACTCCCGCAGAGAGCAGAAGGATATCATGCTTGTTTGTATCAAGCAGTTGTGAGTTGTTTTATGGGGGCTGGAGTGCCAATCCCGCCACTAACCCCCAAAAATTGTTTCGCTGCAATTTCGAGGACCGCTTGCAGGGGCCGGATGCAGTTTAATGTCATACCCAGTACTGATTAACATTATTTATTTAATTTTTTTTTACATTTTTCACGTTTGCCTAAAGTTAAATGAAAATCCTGCATGAAAGTAGCTAAAGAAAGCCAGTCTTTCCCGAAAAAGTTAGACTCAAACTAGCTCCATCTCTAAACTTAGCCTCACGTCGTTCCACGAACGCAGTTCAGCTTTAACTAATCAAGGCTCATACAAGACAGACTTGCATAATCTCACTTAGTGCGCCCACCTGAGATATTTAATTAACGGGGAACCTTCTGGGTTGAGTTCACGTGTCATTCTTACTGTGAAATGCTATTCTGTATTATTTGATCTCCGTAAAATACTTTCAATCGCATCCGTGTGAAATGTTCTGCACAATTACCGTATCTTGTCTTTGCTTTTCACTAATAAACTTTCAAAGTAGACTGTGACTAAACAAAATATAAAAAATCTTCCTGTTCATATTATTTTAACGGATGTCTTTTCAGTTTCAGTCATTGCATTTCATGTTTGACCTTTGTAATATGGGTACGCTTTTATTTTAATTATTCTGGAATTAATTGGAATGCTGAGACGTGATTTTTATAGGCTTTATTGTATTGATTATGTTGCAATCTCACCTCTGTTCTCCATATTATGGAAATATCGCGTAGAGGATTACTTCAGAGGAGCTCCGTGGTGGCCGGGCCCCGGGGGTGGACGAGATCCGCCCGGACTACCTGAAGGCTCTGGATGTTGTGGGGCTGTCGTGGCTGACACGCCTTCTCAACAGTGCGTGGAGGTCAGGGACGGTGCCACTGGATTGGCAGACCGGAGTGGTGGTCCCCATATTTAAGAAAGGGGACTGGAGGGTGTGTTCCAACTACAGGGGGATCACACTTCTCAGCCTCCCTGGGAAAGTCTATTCCGGGGTCCTGGAAAGGAGGGTGAGATCGATAGTCGAATCTCGGATTCAGGAGGAACAATGCGGTTTTCGTCCTGGCCGTGGAACACTGGACCAGCTTTATACCCTTGCAAGGGTAC